ATAGTCTAGACCATTTAGTTTCATTTAAACCGTGAAAATTTGAACCTAACAATTTTTACATAAATTACTCAATCTGTTTTAACATATGGAAACTAGTGAAATATTGACAAACGGGTGTCTTGTTTTCTTTCAATTAATTGTAGAGTGTCATTTCTTCGTGGGATCCATATACCCCTCGTGACCCTTACCACTCTCTCTCTCCTTTAAATACACTAATTTCTCCATGTTGAAGATATATTGGGATCCTGCGGTGTCAAATCTTACTGCATTTTAAAATCAAATCAACACCTTAGCTTACCTTCTCAAACATTGTCCACAAAATGTTTCTTCTTTTTTTTTTTTTCCTCTCACCCTCTCCTTTCATTCATCACAAAAAGTAATTGATGGTAGAAAGGTTCAAACTTTGTTAAGCCCTTTAGACCACCAACGAATTTCAATTATGTAATTTGAAGGAAAAAAAAAGGAAAAGAAAAAGGAAAATCAGTGACGTTTGGACCCTTTGATTAAAAGAAACAACTTTCTCCCATGGTTTGATTAAAGTGTCCACTCCATCTCTCTATATACATATATATCATTTTAAAACTAAAAAAAAAGGGACATTATTATAACTTATTCCTAGAATAATAAGGGAATTTGGGAGTTACCACTTTTTTAAGAAAAGAAAACAAAAGGAAGACACATATTTATTGAGGTACACAATTAGGATAATATATTTATACTATTTTAGAGAGGTTATAAACAGACAAAAAAGAGGGCAAAGAAGAGACAGAGGAGAGGACGTTGTAGTATTTTTTGTCCTGTGAAATCACACAAATTTTGATTCTTTTTCACTAGCGAAAGAGAGAGAAGAAGAAAAAAAGTGTCAATAACTCAATATGCATGCACTCAAATAATCGTACACAATACGTCCAATTATCGACTCAGTTCTTGCACTATCTAAATCTTTAATTATTTTTTTTAAGTTTTGTTTTTATTTGACGAATGAAATGGTCCTCTCTCTCTCTCTCTCTCTCTCTCTCTCTCTCTCTCTCTCTCTCTCTCTCTCTCTCTCTCCCTCCCTCCTGTTTGGGGTTGAATAATATTAAATGGGGTTTGGTTGGTTGCTGTGAAAGGTAGCGGCGGTGGTGATGATGCGGAGAAGAGTGGGGAATGGCCCTTCACTTTCACTTTCACTGCGTTTTACAAATTAGAATAGAATCTTCTTTGTTCTTGGGTTGCAAGAGAGAGAGAGAGAGAGAGAGAGATAAATAGGGCGTGTTTGTTTGGGAGATTTTGGTAGTCATGGTGGTGGGCTCAGTACGATCTGTGCCTCAGTTTTATTGATTGAGATGATGAAGGGTTTTATTTTATATATTTAGATTTTGCAATACTTTTGAGTTTTGATTGGACCCATCTCTCCAACTATGTCTTATATGATTCAAACAAAAATCCTCAGCCAAACCAAACATTATAATTTCAAATGTTTATTACGAGTAGACATATTTTGAATCTGCATCAAATGTTATTAGACAGACGGATAATGTTGAGGTTAATTTTGTGAGGTAAGAGAGGGGAAAAAGAAGACAAACGAAAAATCACGAGAATGGTAAACAGAGGGAGCAGAGAAGAAGCTAAGGGGGTTAATTAGAAAAATTTAAAAAGATGGATTTGTCGTCATTATATGTGTCAGCTGAGCTGAGCTCAGGTCTGTGTGAAATGGTGCAGCCAAAACGTCAGTGTGGTCTGATAAACTCGGCATCAAATGGAAGGAAGGAAAAAGAATGGTGTAGAGAGAAGGAGAAATAAATATCTAACACAACAGAATCAGATTATAAGAACCTCTCTCTCTCTAACTTCTAATTTCAAACAAACACACAATTGTTTCTCCCATTCTCATTGCTTCTCGGGAATTGAAATTTTTCTGGGGTTGTTAGTTTTTTAACATCGATTTGAGAGGTTTATTCAAATTCTTTGAAATGCACTTTATTTGTTTTCCAAAGGTTTTTCTTTTTGACAATTCACCCCCTCCCCTCAGGCCTCACTTTTATTATTATCATTATTATTTTAATTTCCAATGAAGATAAAGAAGAGTTTATTTATTTTAAAAAAACGAGAATCAAAATTTTCAGTCTAGTGTTTATTAAATTGCACAAATAATTAATCGGTAGATCCACCTCAAATTTTGTAATCACTTCGGATGCAATCTCATTTCTATCCTATAATCTCATTAATCTTATGCTCCTTCCTTATTTGATGGGTCTCATACATTTATAAAAAAAAATCAATAAATTCTCAAACCTTTAGGGTATCTATTTAGTCTCTAATATACATTAATATATTCTTAAATTTAAATTTTGGGTCTACTAGAATCTTACCACTAACTCTATCGATTTAATGCTTATGTCATCCAAATGTTTGAACTTACCCGTAATCAACCCACCACGTAATTCTTAAGTATTATAGGCAATATGGCCCCATAAGCATTATGCTGAGAAAGTTAGCAGAAAGTACTTATATTGTATAAATTGAAAGTTGTGAAACTCATTAGAATTTTTGAAAACATAAAAACAAGCTTAAAAGTTTATGATCCAAATTACAGTACTTAGAAATAGATAGACACAACCCTAAGAATTTAAATATAAAAGGCTTCTTAAATTAATACATGGTTGGAAAAGTAATTTGCTGAAAGTCGTTGTGGGTAATTTTTTTGATATATGTAATAATATCTATCCCACACGGGAAAATATGGGATGGGGAAAAATATAAGATATATAGTTTTACAAAGCTTTGTTTTCGTTTTCCAATAATTATAGAATCCTAAAGATGATCAGAATTATAATCATATTAAGTATCTAATTGAAATAATTAGGCATCATTTTTGAAGCTATCTCTATTCACTTTTAGTGGCTTATATATATATGTTGATGATATGATCTACCACTTTTACTTTACATAGTCTCACTCATCATAACAAAATATTAAACCTTTTTTTTAAAGGATACCACTGTTTGTATAATATCCACTAATTCATTCAATTAATAGTTACATGAAAGATTTTCCATGCAATCTTTGCTCCAATTATGGCATTGGGGATTTTGGGTGGCCTTCACGTCCCTTAGTTCTGTTTCCAATTATATTGTCTTACTCTAATTTTGTCTTTGATAAAAAATTAGAGACTCATAAACAACACCCTTAATTAGTCATCGGAAGCATTGCAAAGGGAAAGGAAAGTTGGTATGTTTGAGAATTATTAACCTGTGGAAAAAGAACTTTTGGAACTAATAATTCAATCACTTGGGTAATCTCTAAAGAAAAGAGAGATATCAACATGCATGACACATTTAATCTTTCAAAGGATTATTATTATGGTGATAATTAATTAAAAAGTAAAGGAGAATAAAGATGTATAAAGTGTGTGAGAGTACCACACACACAATAAATATATATATATATATATATATTGAATGAAATAAATTTATTACATATGTGAATGAGAAAAAATATAAATAAATAAGTGGTCTCTTCGATTTATTAATTAAGCTTTAATGTGACAAAAATATTATATGTTATACTGGCTGGAGAAGCTACTTGATAATGTTTGATTTAATTTCCATGTTTATTGTTTCTTCAGAATTGCTTCTCTTGTTTTCTTTTTTCTTTTTCTTTCTGCTTCTATTGTTTTCCGTCACTATTCTTTTAGCAGAAAGTTTGATTCAAAATAAATTTCAAAAATAATTTTTCGAAAAAAGAAAGTAACAAAAATATTTCCAATGAGATTGTAAATATATGCACCAAAGTTCATTGATTCACCTTTTTCTTCCCTCGATCACAATTCTAACCAAATAAATAGGCAGAAAATGTAAAGGGTTTTTTATTTTGAAAAAAAAAATGGAAAGAACTTTTGGATTGACTAAGTGAACTAAGTAAAAAGATAAAAAAGCTTTTGGTGGTTAATCTTTTTTCTTTCTCGAACAACTAAATACACTTCCTTTTGAATTTGACGTACCAAATGGAGTGTACAATACAATAATATTATTTTGAAATTTGAATTGCATGTTTTATTTAAACTTTCCATCAACACACTGCATTCCAGTTTTCTGTCAAAAACTGTACCGAAAGAAAAGAAAAGAAAAGAAAAACAATTGTTGCATCTTCCATTTGGTTGGAGAGGAAGAAAAGGGTTGGAATGTGATGATTGAAGAACTGGTTTTGTGTTACGTTGAAGATTTAAGAAGGAGAAAAAAGGGTTGGGGGTGGCGATGGGATTTCTGGAAGAGAAGCAACAAATTAAGAAGCAACCATTATTTACTGTGCCTCCAACTTTAAGTGGGTGTGAGGGTAAGGCCTGAAGGAGATCAATGTCAGATAGAGAGAGAGAGAGAGTCACGGGTTTGTCTTGAAATGCCCTTATTTCCACAGTCCTATACGGACAGACACATATTCTTTCTCTCTCTCTCTAACCGAGGACACTATTTTATTTTTCTAACTTAATAATCTCTTCTTATCTTTTTCAACTTTACTATATTTCTACTTACCATGTTTTACATCTTCGCAATTAATTATTTTTTAGTGGGTGGCTCATTTGGTCCAAAGAGATTAAGGTAATTGAGAGAAAATGAGTTCAAATCTCATGATGGTCATCTACATTTGAACCGATATCAATAATTGACCATCAATGTATAATTATTATTATTTGTTTTTTTTAGCTTGTATGCCCTTCGACTAATTGATAGGACAACCGTCTGATTCTACTACGGTGTCGGGAAATATGTAAAAATTAATTCCTAAAGTAGTGATCATCATGAAATCAAATCTTTTTTTAAAAACTAGTTTCATTTTACTTCTCTGAACTTTGGATTCAATTTTGATAATGTTTTTAACAAAAAGGAATATATACTAAATGTTTGTAAGCTTGATTATTTCAAAAAGCAGAAAGAAAAAATCAAATGATTAAAAAAAAAAGAGAAACTTATAACTTATATACATCCTCCCTCATGAATAAAACGAAAAGTTAAAATCTCCACACATTACAGTTGTTGCAGAGTTGCACAACGTCACATCTCTTCCCTCAAAAAATTTGTTCTCTTTCATCCACACACACACACACACGCAGCCCAGAGATTGCAATTGCGATGTCATCTGTAATGGTGGAGAATTGCGACGGCAGCCTCCTGCTGTCCCTAGACTCCCAGAAGTCCGTCCCGGCGCCGTTCCTCTCCAAAACGTACCAGCTGGTGGACGACCCCTCCACCGACCACATCGTCTCCTGGGGCCAAGACCTCTCCACCTTCGTCGTGTGGCGCCCCCCCGAGTTCGCCCGCGACCTCCTCCCCAATTACTTCAAACACAACAACTTCTCCAGCTTCGTCCGCCAGCTCAACACCTACGTCCGATCCGTTCCCTACACTTTATTTAAAATTTCACATTCTAATTCCTCCTTCTTCAAAAATTTTCATTTTGTTTTTTCATTTTGTTTTATAGGGGTTCCGCAAGATTGTTCCCGACAGATGGGAGTTCGCCAACGAGTTCTTCCGCAAGGGGGAGAAGCATTTACTCTGCGAGATCCACAGACGTAAAACCGCCCACCCCCAAGTCTCCTACAGTACCGGCCCCACTACTTTCTTCCCCCGCCTCAGCATCTCCCCCTCCGACTCCGACGACCAACTTCCCAACTGGCCGTGCGACTCCCCCCCGCCGCCGCTCCCCACCACCACCACCAACTACAACATCATCGGCATCGGCATCGGCTCCGTCGCCACTTTGTCCCAAGACAACGACCGCTTGAGGAGGAATAACTGTATGCTCCTTTCCGAGCTTGCCCACATGAGGAAACTCTACAATGATATTATCTATTTTGTTCAGAACCATGTCAAGCCTGTCTCACCTCCTCCCACCACCAATTCTTTCCTCCTTTCTCACCCAGCTCCCACTCATAATTCTTCCCAAAAACCCCTCAATCACTTTCTTGGATTCTGCCCTAACAAGCACACTTCTCCTGGCACTGTTGCTACGGCCCACTTTCTCGATTCTCCGACTGCAACGTCGAAGAGTGCGATTACGGAGCTCGACGCATTTGACAACAACAGCAACACATGCAGGACCAAGCTGTTTGGAGTGCCGCTTCCGTTGTCTAAGAAAAGGCTGCACCCTGATACTACTTATGGTTCTATTTCCTCTTCCAACAAGAGTAGTTCTTCTCGCTTGGTCTTGGAAAAAGGTGACAATTTGGGCCTCAATCTTATGCCTCCTTCTAATAGCTAGCCCTTCCTCCCATACCCTTTTTCCAATTCTTCATTAAGATTCAATTTTTTTTTCTCTCCTCCTTTTTTTTTTTTTGGCTTTTTGAGCGGATCGGGTTCTAGAATTGTGTTGGAGTATTATCTGTGTGCGAACTTGTGAATGTGTATGTGATTATCTCTGTACATCAATCTTTGTTGATCTAATGCCCCATCAAATTATTACTTGGCGGGTGGGATTATTTGGTTGTGATCTAATTATAAGGTTGAAATAATTAAGCCTAAATAAACATATGGCGCACGCACGTATGACATAACCCCTTAATCTTTTGCATTTTAAAAAATATATATTTTTTGCCTCTGATTTTCTTGATACTATCTCTGAAAAAATTTCAGTTTCCATTAATAGAGAGAGGGAGAGAGGATTTCACATAGTTATCTGGCTTTGGCTTATCTGATGAAAAAAAGATGCATTTCCATGAGAAATAATGGGTCATCTGAGCTCAAGAATATTTGTTCATGGAGCACATGCCGCTGACACCTAATTATATCAATATTCATGAGTTGGGATTTACTAGATAATAAATCACAGCTATCATCTCGCCATTATTGTCAAAATAGGAAAGTTTACTTGGGAAAAGAAAGGGGTTATGATAAAATGAATAATTCCTCGAGATATTATATTAATTATTAGACTTTTTTGTTTTCTTGGGTCCTTTTTTTTGTTTTTGTTTCTTCCCTTTTTCTAAGGTGTCAGGATGATGAGATTGAATAAGAAGAAAACCAAAAACAAAGACACACGATGGCGGAAGAAGAAATATTTGATTTGAGCAATTCGATGAAAGCGAAAGGGAAACCAAGTAAAAAGAAAGTGTCTAAAATTGGGGACTGAAATGTACACATCACTGCTTCTATAATATTACATACCAACTTGTTCTTCTTCCTTCTTCCCTTCCTTCCTTCCTTAAGGACCAGAAATCTGTGTCTTTTCCTACTTTTTAAGTGTCCGAACAAAGGGACCACTCCTCATTCTTTCACCAATTTCAAAGTCCCCCCCTCATTTTCTTCATCCAAAACACTGAACCACCTAGAAGGGAAAACCATTGACTGTTAGATGAGCAAACAATATCATACTCCTCTTAATTGTTTCGTATGTAATTCGAATGGATTCTTGTTTTTAGATTGACTGAATTAAATGAATTTGGTGAATATATATGTTTGATATATATGTTTAGATTTACTTATGTTTTCAATATCTTGACATTTTGAATTTAAAACTTTAAGACGACCAAGTGCGTTAAAGGTGTCCTAAATTCATTTCATTTTTGTTATAATTAAAACAAGGAAAATATAATATATAGTAATACTACAAAATTTGTAACACATATATGTTAATAAATTAGTTAATATTATTTTAGATTGAAGTAAATAGTTAGTTGTTAATTAACTCTAATTTACGAGTATTTACTAAACAATTTGAACAATTTTTAAAGTTCAATATTCAAATATGCTACCAAATACCTATTTAAAAACACTAAAAATATTGAATTCAACCATGTTTTTAATTGAATCATTTATTTTCAAATCACCAACTAAAATGCAACCTAAGTTATTTTATTGCAAATAATTATTTTAATATAGAGTTTGATAATAATATGGAATGCTTTGACAAAACAAAACCGATCTACATAAAAAAAAAATCATATTTCAATAATATCATAGGACTTTAATGTGATTGACAATAATATGATTGTAACTTTTGATAGCATGGATTCATGTAGAAAAGCCATTTCGAGAAAATTCTATGGGCAAAGAAGAATAATTCACTCGGCTGGCTATGGAACCAACTACCCAAAATTCAATGAATAAATCACATCTCTTTCCCTTCCACTTGATCCCTTCGTCCATTATGTCACATTTTAATTCACATTTTAATTGAGTATCCTTTTTTAAAAAATCGTAATATTTTTTTTTTAAAAAAATAGACAATTATCCTATCGAGAAATGGTGAAAATATCATAATTACAAAACAAGKTCGATTTAGACGACCAAGAAGAAGCAACTATTTTATTGTTGTCTTACCGATAAGCTACTGATCTGGGAACTTTCGAAAAAAGTTATTTTTTTTCTTTCTAACCATAAAAATCAAATGATAGAGCTGAAACACCGTTACACCAAAGCACATTTCTACGGTTAAAAATAGAGACATTGATACACTTAGAAATAAAATCATCAATTCAGGTCAGGAGCACAAAAATGGAGAAATAGATGCCGAAAATGGAGAAATAGATGATTCATGGTCTCTATAAAAAATTACAAATTGAACAATTAGTTTTCTAAAATTGGTCACTTAACTCTAATCATAGAAATATCGTATCACGCAACCATAATCATAAAAATGATGGATAAAGTATATAAGTATATATATCCACAAACAAATGGTGTGTTCTATGGAAACAGGCCAACGAAATCTTTAATAGTTAACCGCCAAATATATTATCGAACTCAAGAAGAAAAAAAAATCTAGACGATCATTTTCCATGAGCTTTTTTCGTTGCTGCTCAAGTTATTGATGTTTAGCATCTATACTTGAGGGGCATTTTTTTATCTCATTATTCTTCCTTTATTATTATTCTTTCCGGATATTCTTCCTTCATTGACTGTCACATTCCCTTGTCAATTTTTTTCCTTCTTGCCTTTCATTTTATATTTAAAGATGAATTAGAATGAAATTAATGCATTATATTTTTAATACATCATGTTGGAGGGGATATATTCAAATTCACGATCTTGATTAAAAATAGCTTGTCTTGACCAATTGAGCTGAGCTCAAATTGCCAAGTTAATTAATAGATTGTTTTTAGTAAAATATATTAAGTGATTGAATAATAAGTGAAGCGAGGAAAATAATATATTAAATTAGGATTAGAATAGTATTTTCTGGATTAAGAAGTTTAACATTAGTTAAATGAGTGGAAATACAGTATAACAAGAATAATATTAAAATAAAATATTATAATACATAAATATTTAAAAGAAAAACAAACAAACAAACATCCCATTATCGAGAATGTTCTTAAAATACAAATTTTTCTAATGTAAAAGAAATATTGTTATCTAAATATGTTGAACATCTAGAATTTGAAGAGATGGAAGACATTGAAAGGTGATGTCATGTCATGTGTCTATTCATGGCAAATAAATATATAGCTCCTCGAGTAAGAAAACTGTGAGCAAATTGATGGTAAGGGTTATTAAAATTATACTTTCAGAAGAAGGAACAAAACCTTAATCAATATAGAAAACAAGTAATTTAAAAAAAAAATTGTTAGGGAGACGATTAAGGCATGCTATGTAGTCCTCTCGTCGAGGAGCACGTGTCCATGATTGAGCTCGTACACGCCGAGATTGATGAGTAATTGGTTTAAGCCTCTTGAACCATAAAGTGGAAGTCTAGTTCAGTCTTGACTTTGGTAATCCACGGAATGACTGACACTGAACCAATAATATTTCCCAACACTTATTTTTATAACAGGTAAAATCCACCTTTCATAAAAGTACGTAATTTCTAAACAACTTAACTAATGTCAGCTTGACATGAGTTTGGACCAACTATTAATTTAAGCTTTAGAATGTATATGGCCAAACACTATATCGTTACAAGATTTTGTTTGCAGGTCAACAACTCATCTCATCCGCAATTTGGCTCATTGTTTGACGCGTCACCCCATCCAAAACGGTGCCAAAACAAGAAAGGAAAACTTGTCGAAATATTTGGTAAATACAGCCAAGTGATAAGGGTAAAAAGAAAAAGAAAAAAAAAGTGAGCTAATTTAGAAATGGTGCTCGTCCAAGTCGTAGCCTAGTTAGTGCAAGTATGGTGGTGGGAGAGAATTAAATTAAATTAAATTTTGGAAATTAGCAGAGAAATTGGGAGGAGAGAGGAGACAGTGGAGGTGAAAGTAAAGTCAAAAAAGATCCAAATTTTTGAAGAAAGAGATAAAAACAAAACCAAAAGAAAAAGAAAAAGAGAGGAGAAAGAAAAGGTTAGTTTCAGAATATCTTTGTCGTGCAATGATTTCGTTTCGTACGATAAATCCCAACCCTTTTCCATCCCACCTGCTTCTATATTTTATTTCTCTTCCCCTTCTGAGCGTCGCACGTGACTCCTTATCCATACGTGCGCCCCACTCGTGTGAAGTTGGGCTGTGGGTCGCTCAGCTCAGCCCAGCCCAACCAAACACACCTGCCTTTAACTCCCATCGCGTTGCGTATTCAGTCTTTTAAAAGCAAAAGTTTATTTTCTGTTTTCTAAAAAGCTTTTTTTTTTTCCTTTATCTATATTTCTTTTCTTTTCTTTTCTTTTCTTTTCTTTTCTGGAAACACTTTATCACAATGTTCATGCTCCAGAACCTTTTCTTGGACTTAAATAATTAAATCCCGTTTTCAAATTAACATCATGTCTGATAATGTCTATCTATGCAACTTGTATTCATGACTATTTTGTCTGTTTTCAGTAAATTTTTAATAAAAAAAATTAGTAATATTTGGTTAAGATTTTAAAGGGTATTTTATAATTCTTTTATTATAAAAAAAAACCAGATAAAAAGTACCTAAGTTACATTTATTTAAAAAATGCTTACAAAATAAATTATGTTAAATTCAAATATACTTTTTCTCAAAAACATCTCAAATTCACCTTAAATTGAATGTATTTCAATAATGGACAAAAGAGTAAAAAGATTCATTTCACCTTAGAACAATGAATTATACATAAATTTTAGTATGGTAAAAATTATAAAAGAGATTTGATAGATTGATTTGAGAATAAGTTATATTACACGTGTTACTTTATTTTATTTGTCAGTAGAAAATCTCATTGAATCATAATTCAAGAAACTTGTCAACATTATTCCAATTGGGATTGATTAAATAAATACAACTATCAAAGTTTAAAAACTAAATTTGTAATTTAATCTTTCATAGTTCAATATTTAAATAAATAAATTCAGCCTATTATTAAAATATCCTTAAAAAAATTATTGGATAAATTTAAAGAATTTAAAATGGCTAAACCAAATAAAATATATAGGGTTTTGCTTTTCTGAAAACGAAACCTTAAAATTGGACGTGGGCATAATTTCTCATCTTTTCATACATTCAGCCATTTTGTAGTTTCAAATCTTCTGGGCCTTTAAATTTGAAGGGAAGCCCAAAATACGGCA